TTCAGGCCCAAGCTCTTAGAATTTCATCTTTTCTACTCATTCAACAAACACTAAACACCCTTTTTTTTTTTAGAGACAGAGTCTCACTTTATCACCCTCAGTAGAGTGCCATGGCGTCACACAGCTCACAGCAACCTCCAACTCCTAGGCTTTGGCGATTCTCTTGCCTAAGCCTCCGGGGTAGCTGGGATTACAGGCATCCGTCACAATGCCCGGTTATTTTTTTGTTGCTGTTTGGCCGGGCCGGGTTTGAACCCACCACCCTTGGCACATGGGCCTGGTGCCCTACCCACTGAGCCACAGGCGCCCCATTGTTTTTCTTTTTTGATAGGCATGATGTGATGTCTCAGGGGTATTGATAATAAAACAGATTTGGTCTTTGCCCTCAGGGCCCTCCATATTCTAAGCGCTGATCAAAGTAACTTTCTAAATTAAAGATTCTGTCTTTGAGAGAACTGCCAGCTTTTATAGCAACCATTTTTCTACTTGCTACAATAGAAGAGAACAGTAAAACAAATAACAATGTAAGACAAAAATACAAAAGATGCCACACAGCAGAATGTGATTGGCACAGGAGTAGGACAGAAAGTATAAACACAGTAGAACGTCCATAACTGACCACTTCCCTACATTGACCACCTCCTTAAATTGACCTAATAATATATTCATAGATTGGACATGCACCACATGTATACATGTATGTATCAGTATAGTAGGCCTAGTTCCTTATGTTGACCACCTCCATTACTGTCCTTTGAGTGGTCAACTTACAGAGGTAATATTGCAGCTGATGGTTTTGAACTAAGGAACACTTGGGTTAAACTTGTGAAGCCTGAGACACTAGATTGGAACAAGCAAAAGGAAGGCAGGCAAGGAGGACTGGGGTGTTATGAGAATTGATAGACAGTGAGGCCTTTGGAATCAGACATACCCTGAGCTCAAGTACCAGCTCTGTCACTTACTATGTAACTCTAGGAAAACTATTAACACTTAATCTCTCTGAGCTATCTTTGTAAGGTGTAATAATATCTTCCTCAAAGAGTTGTATGGATTAAAAGGGCAGGGTAAGGGATAAGAGAACAAAACAAAACATGTAAATTTAAGCAACCCAAGTGTGGTAAGGCCAGTAGAGTGGCTCAGGCCTGTAATCCCAGCACTTGGGAGGTCAAGGAGGGTGGATTGCCTGAGCTCACAGGTTCAAGACCAGCCTGGGCCAGAGAAACCCCACCTCTAAAAATAGCTGGCATTGTGGTGGGTGCCTGTAGTCCCAGCTAGTTGGGAGGCTAAGGCAAGAGGATCACTTAAGCCCAAGAATTTAAAGTTGCTGTGAGCTATGACGCCATAGCACTCTACCAAGGGTGACAAAGTGAGACTCTATCTCAAAAAAAAAAAAAAGTGTGATAAGTGCTAAGCGAAATGTTCAAGAGAAAAGGAACAAAGGCTCTTTATGTAAGATCCTTACACTTAAACCACTTGTGAAATGAATATTTTTGATCAAAACTTTGTCCCTAGAGATAACTTAACAAAAGTTAAGCCAATCTAAATGTTCATCAATAGGTAAATGGATAACTTAGGGTACATCCTTATAAAGTTAGTAAAATGAATGAAGTGGGTCTGTAAGGACTGGCCTTGGAAGATGCTCATACATATTAAGCAAACTAGGCAGGCTGTGGAACAAGACTCAGCCCGCCCTTCCCCTTTCCTCGCTTCTTTCCACACGACTACCCCACACCCCAGCACACCCCCTATCCACAACTCCTATTTCCCCTGATCCTCCGTGTTTTCTTCTCTCCGGACTCCTCCCAGCTTTCTAGCTCAACCTCCCCAACCCCCTACCAGGGCCCGGGAAAACCAGCTGAGCAAAGCAAGCGCATGCGTGATGGCATCCCTCAAATCGCGGAGGGGGCGCGTCTGTCCCGCCCCGAAGATGGAGCCCGAGAGCGATTGGTCCCCGTTTCTGCCTCCCAGGATTGGCTGGCACCGCGCACCCAATCCGGACCGTCCACTTCCGCTCAGCTCACTAAAGTCCTGGCGTGGGAGCAGCTTTGGGCTCCTGGAGAAGGCGTCGCCTTTGCTGAGGTAACTGTCGGCCCGTTCTTCCTGTTTCCTCTCGCATTTGAAACTGTTCTGCGGACGCTAGTGTGAGATTGTCATGTTTTCCGCGTTTGCAGCCAGTCACTCTGAGGGGGAGAGCTTAGGACAGTGGAAAACTGGAAATTAGAAATTGAATTAGGCCGGGCGCGGTGGCTCACGCCTATAATCCCAGCGCTTGGGAGGCCCGGGCGGGCGGACTGCCTGAGCTCCCAGGTTCGAGACCAGCCTGAGCCAGAGCGAGATCCCCAGTCTCTAAAAAAATAGCCGGGCGTTGCGGTGGGCGCCTGTAGTCCCAGCTACTTGGGAGACTGAGGCAAGAGAATCGCTTAAACCTAAGAGTTAGAGGTTGCTGTGAGCTGTGATGCAACAGCACTCTACCAAGGGTGACAAAGTGAGGGAAGGAAGGAAGGAGAAATTGAATTAGAGAACCGGCCACGTGGGCACCGGCCCCGTACACAGAGGGTGACGGGTTCAAACCCGGCCCCGGCCAAACTGCAACCAAACAGTAGCCGGGCTTTGGGGCGGGCGCCTGTGGTCCCAGCTACTTGGGAGGAGGAGGCAAGAGAATCGCCTAAGGTCAGGAGTTGGAGGTTGCTGTGAGCTGTGTGACACCACAGTTTCTACCAAAAAAAAAAAAGTTAAGAGAAGGCAGGAACAGGCACTTGAGAAGAAACCCAAGAGGTTCTGAACTCAGAGAACTGGGAAGTTGAAGGAGGTTGATTTACTAAGGGAACATACAAGCACATGCTTTAAAAAATGTTTATTGAGGTGAAATTCATATAACATTAGCCATTTTAAAGTGAACAAGTAACAGTACATTCACAGTATTGCACAATCTCATCTTTTCCCAAAACATTCCCATCATCTGAAAGTTAAATTCAATACTTATTAAGAAGTCACCCTCTAATCCGTACCAACTCATAGTTCCTGCAAACACTAGTTTGTGTTCTGTCTCTATGGATTTATTTATTCTGGATAGTTCATATAAATGAAATTATACAATAATAGTCTTTTTGTGGCCAGGCGGGGTGGCTCACTCCTGTAATCCTAACATTCTGGGAGACCAAGGCAGGAGGGTCCCTTGAGCTCAAGAGTTCAAGACCCCGTACCATTGCAGGGATCAAAACAGTGACTGCTCACTCATGTCTCACTAGTGAAAAAAAAAGGTAGAAACAGCCGGGTATTGTGGCACGTGCTTGTAGTCCCAGCTACTTGGGAGACTGAGACAAGAGGATTACTCAAGCCCAAGAGTTTGAGGTTGTTGTGAGCCAGGCTGACATCACAACACTCTAACCTGGCAACAGAGTGAGACTTTGTATTAAAAAAAAAAAAAAGGAGGGCTTTTAAATCTGACTTCTTTAATTTAGCCTAGTGCTTTCTAGCATGTACACAGCATGTATCAATACTTCATCCTTTCTATGGCTGAGTAAAATTCTAATTTCTTTATCCATTCATCTGTTGATAGACCTTTGGATTGCTTCCATTTTTTACTGTTGTGAATAGTGCTGCTATGAATATACATGTACGTGTACTTGTTTGAGTACATACCTGTTTTCAATTTTTTTGAATATATATAGAGAGGAGTGGGATTGTGAAGCCTTGTGGTAATTCTTTTTAACTTTTGAGGAACTTCTACATCCTTTTGAAACCCTTCCTTAAGGCTTTACTATTATTAATATTTAAAATAATATTAAATATAATATGTTAATTTTTTTAAATGTTAAATGTTTTGAATCAGCATTTCAGCACCGATTTGGGACCAGCTGTGGGAGAGAGAACTGTGCATTGTAGGAATTTTAGCAACAATACTGGTTTCTGACCACTAGATGTCGGTAGCATCCTCCCAGTTGGAAGAACTGATACCATCTAAAGACATTGCCAAAAGATGAGAGGCAAAATTGCTCCTTTCCCATTGAAAACCAGTGTTTTAAAGGATTCCCTGTGAACTGGGAGCAAATATTATTGGCACTAAGGCAGAATACTAAAACTAAGAAATGGATAGTCCTTAGAAGTTTGTATACAAGACATATTTTTTATTTACTCTGTAATGATGTTAAAGAGTTTGCAGATTTCTGATGATAACATCCAGACACAGGAGGGATAAAAGAAAATCTTATCATTAAATATTCATGTTTATTTCATGTGTAACTTTAGTAATATAAACCAAGCTCATCCATAGAGCTCCCTACCCTCCTGCCCCAGGAACATACTAAATCAAATTTATAGCCCACTGTATGACATAATTTTTTTTTTTTTGAGACAGAGCCTCAAGCTGTCTCCCTGGGTAGAGTGCCGTGGCATCACAACTCACAGTAACCTTCAACTCCTGGGCTCAGGCAAGTTTCCTGCCTTAGCCTCCCAAGTAGCTGGGATCACAGGCGCCTACCACAGCACCCAGCTATTTTTTGGTTGCAGCCATCATTGTTGTTTGGCGGGCCTGGGCTGGATTCGAACCCACCACCTTAGGTGTGTGTGGCTGGCGCCTTAGCCACTTGAGCCACAGGTGCCAAGCCATGTATCACATAATTTTAAAGATGACAACTAGAAGCAAGACTTATAAGATACTATTGATATGGTAATTTTTATTTTTTCAAATATATTTATTCAATATTCATTTTTTCAAATAAAAGCTCAAGCTCCCCTGAGGAATTTCCTATTTGGTTCAGCCAAATCATAGAAAGACAACTACTAATTTTCTTTTTCTTTTTTTTTCTTATTTAGAGACAGAGTCTCACTCTGTTGCCAGGCTAGAATGCCATGATGTTTGCCTAGCTCACAGCAACTCAAATTCCTGAGTCCAGGTGATTCTCCTGCCTCAGCCTCCTGAATAGCTGAGACTATAGGCACCTACCACAATGCCTGGTTATTTATTCAATTTTTAGTAGAGACAGACTCTTACTCTTCCTTAGGCTGGTCTTGAACTCCTGAGTTCAAGGAATCTTCCTGCCTTGGCCTCCCTGTGCTAGGATTACAGGCATTACCACCTGGCAGACAAATGCTTAATTTTCATTATTGGGATACAGTGAACCAAAATGAATCTTTGACATTTACTGTTAAAGATCTTGTTGAGTGTAAGGGTATATGGCACACCTCCTGGGTGTGCAATAGGGACATTACCTAACAAATGTAAACATTGCAACCTAATCATTTGTACCCTCATCTTAATCTGAAATTTTAAAAAAAGGTTTTGGGAAGTTATTTATAGAGTGGAACCCTGAGTATGTAAACACCTTTGCCATTGAAAAGCTGTTAAAATCAAAACTGTTACAGAAATGGACTAAGCAGCCTTAGGCACAGACAGTGTTGGTGTAGAATCCACAGCAATTAGCAAGGGCTATGGCACTGAACTCCTTGTCTTCCCAGGGACCAGAAAAAGAAGGAGGGTTGGTGCCATTCAGAGAAGTACTGAAATGAAAAGCCAGAAAGATACATATTGGGTTAGATAAAAATAAGACAACAAAATATATTGGTAAGTTATATTGAGCAACTGAAAACAAAAACCTATAAATAGATCCATAGGCCATGACCAAATAAATTAGGCCCAATTAAATTGATTTTCTCATTCATATACAAGGCAGTACTAGCAAAACCTGTGTACAACATTGTCTTTTCTGATGATTACCTCCAAACACAGGATGGGTAACAGTTAACTTGGCCTAGTAACCTGTTAAGCACCTAGCACCCAAACATCTACCTAGATAGTGAATAGACTGCTTATTTAATGATAACTTACAAATTTGCCTCTGATTTCTTTCATCAACCCCAGACCCATTGGCTTATGAGTAGTTTCACATGGTGGTACCTTAGGTACATCCAAGTTAACTTATCTAAAATGAAATTAAGGGCAGCACCTGTGGCTCAGCAAGTAGGGTGCCAGTCCCATATACTGAGGGTGGCAGGTTCAAACCCAGCTGGCTGAACTGCAACCAAAAAATAGCCGGGTATTGTGGTGGGCGCCTATAGTCCCAGCTACTCAGAAGACTGAGGCAAGAGAATCGCTTAAGCCTAGGAGGTTGCTGTGAGCTGTGATGCAACGGCACTCTACCAAGGGCAACAAAGTGAGACTCTGTCTTTACAAAAAATAAATAAATATATAAATAAAATGAAATTAAGCTATAATCTCTCCCTTTCACTTCCATTGCTGAAACTGGTCCTCTTCCTCTCAGTGAATAAAGAGCAATCCTTAGACTCACTTGCCCAAGCAAGTCATTGAGAGTTTTCACTCCACCTGCTATCTAGCTGATGACCAACACCATTGAGTCTACCTCATTTGGAGCATATCCTTCCTTCACAAATACTCAGTATCACTTCTTATCATGTCTAACTAGAACTAATATAGCAGTGTGTTGATTGGTCTCCTTGCCATCCATATGGCTTCCAGAATGATCTTTCGAAAAAGTATAGCTGATCATACCAGTGTTCAGAATTTTGCAGATCAAATTTAAATTCCTTATCAATGCATTCAAAGCTCTTTATGATATTTCAGCCATTTTTCCCAGAAATATACGTATACCACCAATATACATATTTTTTGCTTTGAAGACACCATTCTGATACCTCAAATCCTTCCTTTTGTGTGTCCCCAAACTAGTTCTTTCAGCTTTTTTTTTTTTTTTTTTT